GCATCATAGAATTTGATCGCTCCTCGCAAGCTGGTGTTCTATACCGGGTAAAGTCAGCCTATGGTTTCACTGACCCCTTCGTGGTCAATGGTCTAACAAGACAAGGTGGTCCCGGATCTCCCCTGAAGTTTACCCTGACGTCGAGCTTGGGAAACTACTGGTTGCGAGATTGTCTTTCGACGGATCCAGGAGCCGTAGTCGTGTCGACCATGAACGCCCGCGCTGGCATCTTTCACGAGCCCTCGGATAACATCCGTCTTCAAGTCCCTATGGTAGAAGCAATGGACGATTCATACATTACCTCATGCTCCTTGGGGACGTGCCGACGGTCGTGCTTTATCATGGAACAATTTCAGGCCTGCTATGGCGCCAGAACCAGGTGGGACAAGTCCTACTTGTACGTTCTGAACACGCCATGTACGACCCCCAAAGTTCGCCTCCCCACTGTCGACCCATCACACCCGTTCAACGACAGCATTGTTCCAATGGCGGATGTTGTCGTGGTTCGTGATCAACTGGAATTCTTACGAACCGAAATCAATAACCCCTCCAAACAATACCTTTCACTCCGCGACCTGATCACTGACTTCCAGTTCCCGGTTCTCTCCTCCAGACTCCCGTTCACGGCTTTGCGGCGAATCATATCTCAATGCCTAATCTCCAAGATACGCCCTCGCCTATCATTCCAACCCATCAAACCTGCCGACGCTGAGACCTTGGACAAAATGATTGCCACCAAAGTCCATTCGTACCTCGGCTTCCCCTTTTCACCTTCATCTCGTCTTATGTACCTACCGCTGAACTCTGGGGGTTTTGATTTTCCCTCCGTGGCACACCTTAACATCGAAGCCACTATCTGTGGTCTCCTAAGGGACTTAAACCACCACATTCCCGCGTTTCGGGATATGGCTCGCATCACACTCACGGACTGGTCATGTGCACGCAACTTCTGCGCAACCCCTTTCTACGGTCCGCCTCTCCTCAATGACTTCAGGCGCCTGTCTGGAGCCGCTTCCCCACATTTCCCCTTTGCTTGGATATCCGCACACTTGTTGATGCGAAATTTAGGTCTATCCCTTCCAACGATGGATCAATCACATATCCTCCGGGGTGACGTTTCACTGTCGCACCTGCACCGATACTTTAACCTCCATCCATCCTCGTTACCTTCTGTGTCTCGTTCAATTATCCCTACCTACAATGATATCGAATCCCTGTCTCGAGCAGGCATCCATCGCCTATCCGACTGCGCACGATGGGTGGCCGACTCACCATCATCCTCTACCCCTGAATACAAAATAACTTTTCCAGCGCCCTTTCAACTAATCTTTCATGATAATCGTCCTATACTCAACTCTTGGTTACGTGTCCGCTCGTTCCTATCATCTCTCTCCCTCTCTGACTTCACACACCACCACCACCATCTCGCAATTCCTCGAAATATCCGCCAATCCACCTCCGAAACACACATCCTTTCCATGTTATCTTCTTCTGCCAATCTCTTCTCTTCTTCCTCCCCTGATAATATTCCTCGCCAAATTATTGCCTCTGACGCTTCCTTGCTACCTCCTTCTCCATCTATACTCCAACCCCGATCCATAACATTTTCCGCCCTTCACAATAACAAATCCTTTGTATTCTCTATCCCCCGTTCACAAACCTCCTTCTCTATCCTTCACGGCGAGCTATACGGTTTGATTCTCGCCGCTTTACTATACAAATCGTCACCTTCACACTTTGAAGACTCTATCATTTACTCTGACCATCTAAACGCCATCCGCTTCATAAACAACGCTCTGCGAAACAAACCTCTTCCGTCCGTTATATTTTCTGTCCCGGCTCGTTCCTTATATCGTTGGCTCCTGCATATCATTGAACACCTCCCTACAAAGCCTTCCTTTTCACATGTTCGTAGTCATACCAACAACCTCGACGCTCCTTCTATTGCCAATGACGCGGTCGACAAACACGCTACACGATCCCAACACCTCTCGCTCCTTCCCCCCGCTGCTCCTATTCCTACCTTCCTTATGGACGACTTCGTGCTGCATCACCACCTCACCGGCTATATCGAATGGCCAGTTCAAGCCACTATCAAATCTCTTCATCATCAACACATATCCTCCGATTCGTCGTTCAAACCCCACATGCGTCTCGCCAAGTTCCTCTACGACAACAATCCGATCCCTACACATCCATATACAAGGTCTTCCTCTGCGTTCGCTGCTACTACCCAATTATACGCCCGATCGGGACAACTTGCAACTCGTTCTATAACGTCCACTCGATTCGGCGATACCCTGCCTATCTGCAGTTTCGGTTGTACGGCCGTGGAAACCCCCCACCACATATTCGTTGAATGTCGTCGTTTTGACAAAATTCGCGAATCTTTCTCTTCCCGGTCTATCAACAACATCTCCCTTCTCTGCGATAGAGCAGACGCGCCCCCCGAATGGCGCTCTGCCTTCGAACGCTTAGTGACGTCCCTATTTTCGGATGGAGACCCTTGGCCCCTACGACGATCGAGATATTACTTGGGCTTGATTCCTCCCATTCGGCCTCTAGTGGATAACCACGTAGACTGGCCCTCCATCAAGAGGGACAGATTCATATGCAGCGTAGCCCAGTCGTTCCATGTATCCGCTATTCACCTCACTGCGAGAATCTGGGGTTATATATGTCGTCTTCGTTCGCCTCGCCTTAACGTCTGTACCAATATTCAAAATATCTCTGTTCCCTCCCACCTCTCTAGTTTACTTCCTGCTTCTGAACGTCCCTTATCCATTGATTCGTAGCACCTACTGTACACTAGTTTCCTTTGTCTGTTTCTTCATCAAGAGCTATCGAGGTATTTGCTGTTGTAGGTACCTGAGTTACTTATGTAACGTAGATAGCCATTCGTATTCATTTTTCATTTTTCACGTTCATGATAGGCACAGCCACTGCCCTTACATCCTTCTGTAGAACATAAGCACGGCCAGCATCACCTCTTAGATTATTGTAGGTGCTCCCCATTGGCATACAAAAATAGAAGACTTCCGTGTGGCTTGTTTTCTAACGAGTATTCAAGAGTTTTAGACCATGGCAACTAAGTATGACAGTAATATTGACCTGATCCATCGTCCTCCCTTGAACTCACGCACACCTACTGGTAAGTGGTAATGTATGTACTGACAATATCACTCCTGCTCTTATGCTACCGAGAACATTGACTTGACTACCGGAGAAAGCTATATTTGCTCGGTGGCCGTATCCTGGATAAATGAATTGTGTACAGCGCCGAGAAATACTCATTGCTGGGCTCGTACATTGAAATTCCTGAGTCTACTGAGTCACTCTGTCCCGGTCCTTCATGGGTTGTAGTTTGGAGCGGGACTACTTCTTTGAGTCTGTACACAGTACAGGTGAGCAAAAGAATTTAGTCGACTTCACGACGTGCTAGCCACTGTTGACCACTCGCCGACGCCGGCCCGAGACTATGGCAGTAATCATCACTTCTACTCAATTTATACTTGAAGTTCATCTACGTCTCGTTGCAAGTCATGGACTTCAATTCTAATTCACGTACCAAGTGGCCAAACTCACGTACCGAATGTTCAAATTCACGTACCTTATTGTCTAAATTCACGTACCTCACGTCCACATTCACGTACCTCGCGTTCGGATTCACGTACCTCACGTGCAAACTCACGTACCTTGCGTACATTTTTGCGTTCGTCGCGTTCATTTCACGTACCTCGCGTTCACACTGCATAATTCACGTTCACGTATTCTCTGGTCTAATACAAGTTCTTATTGACTGGCAACTCCATTGCTTCATTAGACTTGACGTGAATAGTGAGTGCTACTGAGAGCACCTGAGTCTTGAGAGAACACCATGAAGATCATGGCTGGGAATTCAATGTCAATGTCGTGACACACTCAACCATTCATCTGTTATCACCTCTGCTTACCCTAGAGTTAGATGGGCCGGTCCACAGGAACTCGTTACTGAGAGACCGTGAGAACTTGAATAATTCTAGGAGCAAGCTGCGGCCTGAGATGTGTCCCCCGTCCCCCTTCTATATTTGAGCTTTATCATTGAGCTCACCAGCTCCGTTATGGCTCCAGTAACATTGATGTGATAGTAATAAGAGGCGCTCTCAATCAGAATGATGATTCATGGGACTGACTTTTACCTTTCTCATGGGTGATGCCACAGAGCGGTACCCCAGAAGACTTGCATCAGGGAGACATTGCTATATTCAGTGGTCACCGAGACTATGTCAGATGCTTATCTTAGGCAGTCTACACAGAATAAAGACCAATAAGATACATACATACAGAATACTGAGAGATCGTGGCCATGTCACCTGATGGTCAGAAACAGTGGCTATGTTTTGCCATCAATTCACGTACCTCGCGTATCAAAATGCTAAATTCACGTTCATTCACGTACCGATTCACGTACCTCACGTACCGTGAAATGTACGTGAACGTGAATTTAGATAGGCCCTGAAATTCGACATCTACATATATACCCTGTATATGTGTACTCATAATACGATCTCGAGTTGCAGACTTTTCACCTCCACACGAAGGGTCATTTTGCGCCTTTCCCGTTCGAGTTTCATATCCGCATCCCCTTCGACTCCTGCCTCTCTCTCTTCCTCGTCCTTTATCTCGTTGATTGTCTGCTTGTTGCAAAAAATCAACACATGGTAAACCCAGATGTAGTACTCAACCGAGTCGATCTCAACGGTGATTTTGTTACGTGTTCTCATTCCATTCCCGGAGGGGTGTACTCGTCCAAGGGAAACCGATAGTGAGACCTCAAGGCAAAGAGAAGGGGATTAAATTTCTCAATGCCAGTCTCAACCAAAGATGAGACTCACAGTTCATTGAAATGTCGATGATGGGATGTGAATGAGAAAGTACCGCGCTGCCCTCGCTCGCCCAAACTATTTATTGGATGGGATACAGGAAGTGGCTCTATAGCCAATACGGGAATGTAACCATAGGCAACTATGGTGTAGCGGTTAGCACGGCATGGCAGTATCACGCTCGGAGTTTCGGAACATGTAACCATGCAGGCTTGGGTTCGATCCCCGATGGTTGCGCTGGCCGTCTTTTTACTTATTCAACCTTTGTCCTGTGTAAACCTGGATATGACCTTGTGAGCTACGCGAGCATGTATGTACTACTGCCAAACCGGTGTGAGGCGGGCATTTGAACCCAAGGGTTTCAATTCGCACTGGATTTAGAAAGAGATACTGACCTATTTCAATCAATTCGGATGTCACACGTCACACCCACTTTTGGGAAACCCCGCCATTAATTTTTTCTCGATTTATGGGATTTTTTGGCGAAAAAAATCTCCGTGGGAAAGTCACGTGCCATCCGAATTGATTGAAATAGGTCAGTAAGTCCTCTGGGGCGTTACCAGGCGCCAAAGGGATAGGTGCCCAAGGGGGGGGGGGCGGGCCGTGGATCCCGGACACCCGGGTGGGTAGTTAGTCCCCCCTCGGGGGTGGGCCTATCTAAATTCACGTTCACGTACATTTCGCGGTACGTGAAGTACGTGAATCGGTACGTGAATGTACGTGAATTTGGCATTTTGATACGCGAGGTACGTGAATTGATGGCAGAGCATAGCCACACTTTCTGGGAGCCAGGAAACATAGCCACCTTCACCCGATAACTTGAATATCTGCTTCCTGTGCGCAGATTTCTGCCTCACCTAGTGTACTAAGCTATATATGAAGTGTATCAAATAGTCACAACGATTTGGATTGAGTTTTCGGCTTTGCAAACTTCTGGGTGCGTTGCAGCGGCCTTTCCCCCAAGAGAAAGACACGGGTCAAGCACTTGAACTGATGATTGTCATCGTAGCCTGTTTCTACGACGGTCATTACAGCCTGCTAAGTGATTTGAGTCCGTCATATGGGCAGGAATAGTGAAGGGGGACAGGGGACATGTCCAAGACCACAACCTCCTCCAGATCTGGTTGGATTCTCACAGTCGCTGTCAGTCAACGAGCTTTCTTAGGCTAGCTCATCTGAATGGAAAATACACAGATTTCAAACAAGTGTTGAGGAGATTTTGTTCAAAATTTGACAGCAGTCCTGAGGTCTCAGCCGTGGTAACCATAGCATGCCCTCAAAGGAGAATCTCATCAAGCCCGGTTGCGCAGAAGAGTGGGCGGTCGAGGAATGAGTGGCTTTCGCAGTCACTTGATGCACATAACAGTCAAAGTCGTTCATAAGTGCATCTGAGGTTATGAACGTGAGTGAACGTGAGGTACTCGAAAGTGTACGCAACGAACGTGAAAGTGTACGTGACGAACGTGAAAGTGTACGTGACGAACGTGAAAATGAACGTGAGGTACGTGAATTTAGACACCTGGTACGTAAATTTAGATACCTGGTACGTGAATTTAGCCATTGGGTACGTGAGTTAGAATGTGAAGTACGTGACTCCCAATGAGACTTAGATGAGCTCTAGTGTAAGGATTGAGTAGCAGTGACAGGTTACAACTCCCACAAATGTGGTCTCGGTAGATGGCTGATGTGGTCCAGCACATTGTCACTTGAGCAATATGAAGTCAATGTTGGTCCATAATTACCGTTGAATTCACTATCCTATTACTATCATTCATAGATCTCAAGGAAGGCTCCCAAACCAGAATTGACCAAGGTGAGGCTCAACCGGGCGGAGGGACCGAGTGGAATTGGGATTCTCAGTCTTTGCTGCTATACCGCGAGGTCCATGATAAGAGTGGCGAATTTCTGCTTGACAAGTAGCTGGACTGAGTGCCAAAGTACCCTTCATAAAACCCGGGGACTCAAATGCTGACTGGTGAAAACAAACATGGAGAATGCAAACCTAGACCTGGCTTAGAGTAAGTGGACTACAATCCAAGTTGCAGTCTAGCAGCCAAACAACACCAAGTTTAATATGGCACCAAGATAACCATTAACCATAGAATATAGTTGTCTATATTTCTCCTTGGGTTCATGAATTACCTTTCCAGATGTTGGAAGACTACTTGGGTACTCAATACGGGTAGATGAGCATGACCTAGATCGACACGGATATCACTACCAACTTACCATGATCAATAATAACCGAAAAATTGATCAGAACCCGGGCTGCACGGGAGGCTCGTATTTCGTTATAATGGGGAGTGTCTGAGATAGCCCAAGGGTTGTATTAAGCACGGTCAAGTTTCACAGCATGATATGTGAAGACTGTGGCTGTGCCCATCATGAACGTGAATTGGTACGTGACGGTACGTGAATTGTACGTGACTGTACGCGACACAGTACGTGAATTTAGCATGCCCCCTCGGGGGTCCTTAAAAAAATTTTAGGCCAATTTTTTTTCGACGTATGAGGCCGTTTGAAGGCATTGGAAGGAGCTGGAACAGACTGTGTCCTTGAAAATCGCTTGTTCTCGCTGAAAATCAACCTAAATCTTACCTTTTAGCACCATCTTCACCACCTGTAGCCCTTGTAGTGGTGCTTAAGTGGGTATGGGGCATACCCCACCCCAGGCGCGACTTCAGTTGAGGTCAGGCTCAGGTGGAGCTCCACAGGATGATAAGCACCCTCCAAACTCATGGCCGCCACTTCTAGAGATGCCAGCGTAGGCTGGTCAGTGAAAAACCTCGGAGATTGCCGGACGGGCAGCCAAAAAAGGTAAGTCTTACCATATATGGAAATTACGTAGCTAGTTAGTCCCCTCGACCTGCCTTGAAAAAAATTCGAGTGTGGGTCATAAATTTTATTTTCCCCCCCCCCTTGTAGGTGCCAACGGCATTCGCAACGTTCAATGTTCCTATTGCTCCCATGAGCTAGAGAAAAGTGTGTGAGCTTGGAGATTTCCAGCACATCTGATGTGCCCTAGGCTTTACCCCGCTAGAGATCTCCTATGGATGGCCGGACGGTTGCGCTTTCCCATCAGTGATGGCTACTGATACCCTCGGTCCTCCTTCCTAATATGGCTGTTTCCAAAGACTAAAGTCTAAGACCCCAGAGACCATAATCTGCTGGGTGCTGAGCCATCGCGTTCAAGCCGAATCTTTGAGCTCGTTTCCATGACCAGTAGAATGTGATTTTCAAACTGAGCCTTGATCTAGTTGTCCAATAAATTATGGTCAGGATTCCAACGTTCATGGCGTGGTGGGCATTTCTGCCAGCAAGAAATCACCGCTTATACTTCCCCCTCTTCCGCCTCCGCGTCTCCCTCTCCAAATCCATACGGCTCACTCCCGCTGCGGCAGAGCTCGATGCCAGTGTAAACAAGAAGACACAGCGCTTGAATTCAAGTATTATCCATCATACCTTCATCAAGTTGCTACGTATACACGGTTACACGTGCCGCACTCAAACAGCTCGGAAGCGGTGGGGAACTCATGTAACGCCTACTCCCCACTACGGTTGACGCTGGAGATCTCCAACGTGCCTGCCCTGTCTAGGTTCTGCAGGCCGAGGCTTGTACAGGGTACTCACCACGCTACCTTTGAAGTCACTGGACGCTACACCTCAAGACAAACTCTAGCTATTACTCCTTAATAACATGGCTAAAAATAATAGCATATTATTGTCTAAGTAGATTAGCCTATAGTAGGATACCTAACGAACGATTTATATGAATTATTTCTCTATAGCCCTACACGCGTGTGCGCCATAGCCTTGCCCCAGTTGAGACACGCTACCTCCCAGCCTGCCCATACCACCTACGGGGAGCCGATACCAACCCCAACTCGTGCAGAAATTCGTCGGGATTGGAACCCCTCCCACAGCCATCACGTCACAAAACCACTGGCTAGCGACGACGACTGGCGGGGCTGGGGATCTCCACGAGAGGGGCCCTGGATATCTCCAATCGCGGAAATATTCCCTACAAAAGGTACCTATTAGGTGTAATATTCGTCACTATACGATCATACCTAATAGGTACCTGGGGGTATGCCTGAGGTGCGCCGACTACGACGACCTTCTTTGTTGCTACTGACGAGAGACAGAAAACTCACATCTGACAATTGGCGCTTTGGCAATTTCATGAAAAGAATTTGCTTCCGTTTTACAGGCCCCTCACAACTCAGCTTGCTCGTCCGTGAGGGGCCGCGTGACAGACCTACAATTCAGCAATCAGATAAGTGTAATCCTCCATTCCTCCGATTTCCGGAGAGGGACCTGAGACAAGTATACAAGGTAATGACATTGTGACACTAAGTCTATAGCGCAGGTTCCAAAGCATTGTGTACAAGAACCCAGGCAGTGGCGTTGCGAGCACGAGCCTTTCCGTGTGTCATCAATGCACAATCTGAGACAAGTCGCACTTGCAGTCGTCTCGCGGAACTGCGAGGGCAATGGCGACAGCGCCATGTCGAGAGCGACCAGGAATCCAGGAGTCTGAGTCAAGCAGTCTGAGCCGATCAGTCTGAGTCTGGGTCTGGGTCTGAGCCTTACCTCTGGCAAGGGGTAGGCATAGAAAAAAAAAAGTAAAACCATGTCGTATTTTTTTTTGAGGACCCTCGAGCCCGACCGACCAACCTCCGGTGGGAGCAACATACTACATATAGTAATGTCACGTGAAATGATATACTGTTTTTGGTAAGTCTTATGTTTTGATTTCTGTTGGGCCACCTCAGTTGTATCTCAACCTTCTCCCCAACTAATTTTCACTGGTGCACTGAGGTAAACTTACTGAATCTATGGGTGCATACTTAGTCTCTTAGAAACAGACGCTTCATATCCGAAAACCCTTTTTTGTGGTGGTGAGGGCGGGTGGATATGAAGTCTGTCACAGAGAGGGGGTGCTTTGTTACGCATTCCAAAATAGGAAGCCCACCCAAAATAGGTTTTATTTTCCCATCCCTTTGTGTATGCCTGCCGATTAGCGGGCAGCGCTGAACGTTGCTTCTCGCCTCCATCTCGACGTGTTTTCAACTGCAAATGGCTCCATTCCTACGATGGCAAGACCCTGAAGGCTCTCTATTACTCAACGAAACTATCTCCCAACTAATTCCCATCTGGAAGAACGGCCTGCGACCATTTCAAGAGGCTGCAATTGCCCGGATTCTCGATGGTGAAGACGTGCTATGCTGTACTGC